CTCTCTCTCTCTCTCTCTCTCTCTCTCTCTCTCTCTCTCTAGTGCGCTCTCTCTCTCTTACTCTCGTGATTTTGTAATCGCGCTCTCTTGCTCTCTTACTCTCTCTCTCTTTCTATCTCGCGCTCTTTCTCCTGCGCTCTCTCACTCGCTCTCTCTCTCTCCGCGCTCTCTCCCTCTCTCTCGCTCTCTCTCTCTCTCTCTCTCTCTCTCTCTCTCTATCTCTCACGCTCTATCTTTCAGCTACGCAGGACTTCGATGAACCCAAACACGAAACTCAGGTCACTCGAAGCTGTCCAAACACTCCGCAGGACATCTGCCCCAGAGAAACTCTTATAGTACACTTCGACCAGCTGGGCCTTAATAATTCACCTTTTACATTAACCCACAAAATTATCCGCAGCAATGATAAATTCGGAGAACCGAACTTATGTTACATTTAAATAAACGAATGTAATTAGACCTCGGTATGATTTATTAATCGCGTCCCACGATCCTGAATCTCCTGTTATATTTCTGCAGCTTGTACATATTTAATGAAATAGCTGATGGAGTCGCTAAAGTCGCAGGAACAAATGTAAATTTACCAAGCTTGCATATAATATTAAGCTTAACTTGTAAATAGAACGTCGAACTATAAATGCAGAATAAAATCTCTGTCTATTTTAGTCGCATGAAATATAACCTTACATAGCAATTTAATAATTAATTTAAATAGCAATTTCCTACTTCCGAAGCCAAAATTATATTATTGATTTTTACAGACGAATTATAGTCGAAACGACGATCCCGGAGCGTTCGACATAACCTAACAACATGAAATATTAAAGCGTCGGAGACGATGAAAAAAAGCACGGATTTTTCGTGTCTGAATCGTTGTTTTTCGCAACCTAGGCGTCACGATCTCTGGATAAAGTTTATCGAGTGACACTCGTTACTTGGAAGTTCGAGGATTCCAGTAATTCCCGACACCCGATCCAATCTGCTGCCGGAAGATCGTTAAGACCATTACGAGCTGCAAAACCAGGCGACTGGACGTGCATGCGTGGGTAGACGGTGAACACGCGCCAAATCAAGTTTTGGCGAAGGGTGTGCGGTGGTATTCGATGGTTGATTGAACGACGAACCCCGTGGTCGAGAACTTATTTCATTCGTCTTGGCACTTTTCCTTCTCGCTTTAATTATTCCGAAAATTTCGGTACAGATTTATGTGCACGGCCGATCACAGCACGGTCCAATAACCTTAAAATTGCGATAAATAATAAAATATTACAATAATATATTATAATATAATTATAATAAAATAATATATAATAATAATATTATAATAATTATAATAATAATATATAATAATAATTATATATTATTATTTTTATTATAATATTAGAATATTAGAATTCTTCCAGATATAGTCAAAATATTATTATTATAATAATTATAATAATAATATTTTGACTATATCTGAAAGAATTCTTCGAATCTATCGTTTCTGTTATTGCGTAGTTAAAATTAAAAATTGAAATTAAATAATTTTCAGGGGTTAGCATAAAGATCAACGTAAGCGAGCAAATACCATTTGAAGGTTAGAAATTCAATTTTTGGAATTCGAGTATTAAATATATTATTGCGAATACGGTGTATATGAATATTATCACTCGTCGGTAATACTAATTGTTGATACTAATTGGTTACCAATCGCAGGACGAATAAATTGTAAATTTCTTGCTATTTACTCTTTTTCGTTCTGCGTATTTGTTATCTCACAATTCCGTCTAACGATACCCGACGCTGTTTTACACTGTTCTACTCGAAGCTATTAATCCACGGCGCGGACGTTATTAAAAATGCATTGCTACCCATAGGTAGGTTATCGGAAGAAGCCCGAGAAGCACGGAATAAAGGCGTTCAATATTACAGACGGTTTAATACCGGAAAATGTTTCAGAAAAGAATGCACGGAAGACCTTCTTACATATTCTTTTAGTATCTTCAGATCCGCTAATAAGCTCATTAAGATCGAAGAAAAAGAATAAAATATCCGACTCATATCCGTACGAAATATCCGTGGTTTTTACAGTTGGTAAAATCCACAGACACACTTACTAGCGATGGTAATGTAGATTAATACATTCTAAAAATATGTATTGCTTTTTTATCGTTTCATTATTATTTCTCCTTTTTTTTTTATCTTTTTTCACTATGCCCTACTATTTTCTTCCGGCATTTGTACACATTACGTAATCACAATAAAAATGTTACTTAACCTTGAAACATTTATCAGAAATTATACAAATAAATAAATAATAAAATATTGTATAATAATATAATATAATAATATAATATAATATAATAATATAGTATAGTATAATATAATATAATATAATATAATATAATATAATATAATAATAAATAATAAAATAATACTAAAATTATTACGTCCGATTCATGCTGATATCGTTGAAATATTTGTCTGCCGAGATTTATCCATCTTTGTGATAAAATATATGTAATTTCTCGCGTTTAAATCGCCGTTTTCGAACGCTGTGCGACGGCGCCGTGATTCTTCTTCGTCCTCTGCCTCTGCCCCCCCTCCCCCTCCAACGGCCGAATCTCGATTGTGTCCCTGGGCGGCACGTCTACCCCCCACTCCGCGATAAATCGTTTTCGCGGTGAACCGTCTCGGTCGAGGATTTATGGTATTCAATGTTTAAGGGACGATCATCCCGACGCGAAAACGTAGCCGAACGACTGCGATAACAGGACGGGGGACATATGTATTACTGGGGCCCGAAGATCTTACTGTTTGCCTTCCAGCGCAGCACGGCGACGCGACATGCTTCCGAAACGCGACTTCCTCGGCTGCGTCTCGTCATCGAACATTTTCAAGCTGCTTTATACAGGGTGTATAAGGTTCCTCAGGTCATTCGAAGCAACTTTTTCCTTTACAAAAATTTTCTCCGAGGCACCGTTAGCGAGTTATTAACGAAAAACAGTGACCAATGAGAGGCGAGCTCGGCTGGCGCGAGGCGACCGAGCCAATGAGCGGAACTGGGCATCGCGCACTGGTTGGCTGGGCCGCCTCGCGTCAGCCGTACTCGATTCTTATTGGTCACTGTTTTTCGGTAATAACTCGTTAACAGTGCCTCGGAGAACATTTTTGTAAAGGAAGAAGTTGCTTCAGATGATCCGAGGAACCCGCCATTTCCGGATTGCGAGACATTTTTGGGACACCCTGTAGAAACAGACGTCTTAAGGAAGTCCAAAAATTCTCTGAATCCTTGAAGTGAATATTAGCCTCGTTTTGCACAATAATTGATAAAATATCTATATATTTATATAGATATTATATATATAATATTTATATAATATATTATTATATATTATATATTATATTTATATAGATATTATATGCGCGAATATTAATGGGAGTACAGTAAATTCTCCCTAATCGTGCAGAAAAATAGACAATTTGGGAAGAGATCGGTAACTATGAAAACGAGCAGCGAGGCTCGAATAATAATCGTGTCCCGACTTCCCAAATTGTCCATTTCTGTGCACAATCTGAGCGTCAATTAGGCAGAATTTACGGTAACTGTGTATCTCACGCGCGAGCGCGTCGATCGTCTGCGAAGGGTTAATTGGACGCGAGACGGTGAGCTGAGCAGAGTATCGGTGTATGCGAGCTCATCGGGGCGAACCTAAAAATGAAAACAAAGCGGGTGGTCCCTGGGAAAGTAGCCTAACGCGAGACGCGTCGAGGATACACGTGTATTTACGCTTCGCCCATCGCACAGTGGTCTGGGAATTCGCTTTCCGTGGTTTAAATCACTTTTAGCGTTGTTCCCAGGTTTAAGGCTATAAATATAGTTGGTGGTTGAATTTCTAGACACCAGTTAGAATATTATCAATAGAACAATATGCATTAACATTTAAGAGATCGAGGCGACGAACATTTTTCATAAAACATATTTTTTGCTCTACGTTTCTATATTTCAATATGTCGGAAAGTGAACGTTGACCAACTTTCGTTGGAAACATTTTTTTTACAGTAATTTAAGCATTTAATGCTTAAATTATTATTTATTCAAATTATTTAATTACTCGAGAACTTGCATTTCAATATTTTGTAACGAGTAATTAAAACAATTAGTTTTAATCTAAATTTCGTATTTGTGCCTTTACAACGCTCTATCTAGTCGCTGAGTTAGGTTATTAATATTTTTAGGTTTATTCTCAGGTTGTTAATATTTCTACTTTTAGGTTGTTAATATTTGAGGTTAATATTTTGGATTTCAGAATTCCTGAGTGGTCGATACACAGGAAAACAAATATATTCTTCAAGTACAATAGTTGAGGGATTGAATTTCGGTTACAAATTATTAGTTTCCCAGAGCCACTGTGCGTCATCAGGATTCTATTTCGCTCCGCTGATAACCGGTACGGTCGAATCGCAAGATGAGTCGAATGGAAGCCAGGAGAGCGGAGCCTTCGTCCAGTTTTCAAGTAGCGATTCGCACGACGTGAACGATGAGATCACTTCGCGTTTGCCCCGTATGAATCATCGTCTGTGCCGCTCTAGTGGTAGTTCGTCTGTTCGGCTGTTTCGGCCAATCCCGGACGGTTTCGCCGACGTGAGACGAACGTGGAGCTGTTCCGTTACGTCGCGCGACTCGATTACGAATTTCCTTTAAAAATATGAGCCCGAGCCGCGCGTTTACAACTCGCCTGAATACAGAGCAGCTCGGCGACGAGCCACGATCGAGAATTGAGCGCGGCTACGTGCGATGGTAACTCCTGTTATTCTCTGCTTTTTCGAAAGACCCGATATTAACTGCCTCCGTTCCCACGTTTGCCGCAATCTTTTGATGGCATTAACGTCGTCATCTTCGAATCCCCGACTTTAGCGCTCATCCTTTCTACCGCATGAAAGGTCAGCCATCTTTATCGCCAGCAGATGCATTTTATTCTGTTTTCAGACCTTGAAAATTATAAGTATGTAAATATAACTGATCAAAATTCACGTCGACTTAAATATTGCAAGGGCCAACATCTAAAACTTGTGTGCTAATTTGAACAAATTATTTTAAGGAGGATCGTTGGAAATTGGACTTTAATATGAAGAAAATAATATATATTACAATATTAGAACAATAATATATATTAATAAATATATATTAATATAAATATTATTAATAAATTAATATATAAATATATATTATATAATTCATATAACTTATTATATGTAATAAATACAGTATCATTAAACAAAAGAGCAAAAAAAAGGTTTCATTTCCTTGGAATGCGACACGTCGCGTAAGGCATAGCTTGACGATTAAATAATGTGCAGCCGCAGCAAAAGTTGATGAAGTGTAAACCGAGGATGTAGTTTTATTACCAAGATTAGTTACCAAGATTGTGCTCATGCTAGACGCAATTATGACGTCAATAGAAAATGTTCCGCACGCCAGATAAATATCTAGCTATTCCGGTCAAATTGAATGTCGAGTTAGGTCAACGTAAATGGCAAAGAGTTTAATCAGCCACTTACCTTCCATTAACCTAATGCAGAGTGTTGCAGCAATTTCATTTTAATTGGATCAGTCGTATCAATGAACCGAAGCAGAAATTGGATAATTCTATTATCACGCTATTACATACTACCCAAACGAAATGATATTACCGAACACGTTGTATCGATCGCTTATCATACGACTTCCTCTATCCGCACGGCTGCAAATGTATGCTCATTGTACACAAGTTCAATATTGGCAAGCATGGAAGTCTTATTCGCGCATACAGAAGTATATTTGACTTCAACACTCTATATATATGTATATATAGCGAAGGTGTCGAAAGACACCTTTCAATAACCTCTATTTCGCACTATTTTTGGTTAAACTTTTCCTTGGGGGTTTCTATTTTTATGACTTTCCAGCGTACATTCCAACGGATTTTGTCGAGAAATGTCCAAAAATCGAAGTCCCGAATCTAGGAACGTAATTAGTAAGTTATAAGTCCTGTGGAATTGCGTAGTGGAATTAATTCAAAATACCTGTAGTGCTGCCATTTGGTAGTTCTAGGTTACGCGTAGTACCGCTATGTAGCGGCGTCGCCTGTCAATATGGCGCGCCCACCTGTCAAAAACGCTGAAAATTCGTCAACTTTGAACGCCGTGACTTTTCAACAAGAGAATACAAGGCTTATTTTAATGACATTCCTCGATGCGCGACTTCGATTTTTGGACTCTCCTCGACGAAATCCATCGGTATGTCCACTGAAAAATCAAAAACGAATTTGGATTCCAAGAAGTTGGAATTACGCGCGGAGATCCGACGAATAAAACTAAGGAACGTGTGGTCGTACGGCCGAGACTCGTTAGCGAGATAAGTGTCGCGAAGGAGGTTTCGTGGCTCGAGGTCTTCCGTAATCTCTCGGCCGCGACGCACGATTTCGTTTCATCCTGATTCGGTCGGGTGCGTGTCAACTGCTACTATCTTCCTCCGCCCGAGAACCGTCTACGTGAACTTTATTAACGCGAGTTGTTGCCGCGGCAGGCCGGGGGCTACTCTCGTCTCGTATCAGCTCGATCTATATAGGCGTCTCAGAATTATAGCACTTCCGGGAAACGAGGGGTTCCTTAGGTTATTTGAAGCAATTTTCTCCTTTGCGCAAATGCGATCCGCGGCTTCGTTTACGAGTTATTAACGAAACACCGTGACCAATGAGATCGGCGCGGCGGCCGAGCCAATCAGCGGACGAAGCCCAGTTCCGCTCATTGGCACGGCCGCGTCGCGTCGCTCGCCGCTCATTGGCTCGACCAGCTCGCCGCACATTGGTCAGAGTTTTTCGCTAATAACTCGTTAACGATGCCTCGGAGAACATTTTCGTGAAGGAGAAAGTTACTTCGAATGATCTCGAGAACCTCTAATTTCTCGGAAATAACATAATTTTGAGACATTTCACGGTATGTATGTACATACGTAAGCAGCAGTTTGCAGACGGCGAACTCCGCGCGTTCGATAATCGTCCTTCTATTCTCTTCCCATTTCGTCGTCGGCGCGACACACGGAGCAGCGGCCGAAATCCTCCCCCCTCCATCGCTCGAGGCGTGCAAACGATCTTCGAATTATACCAGCCGTGTTCTTCCCCTCTTTCTTTTGTTTTCACCGCCCGGAGCTACGGAGGTAACGATCAAGCCGCCGACGAAATCGATCCGCAATTTTCGGGCGTCGATTATTTTAACACTACACACGGCCGCAACTTTGTCGCTAACCAGGCTCATTAGTCGACGTGTACGCCGTCTTCTTCCTCGATGCACTGTGTTCGATCCGATATAAGGGATCTTATAGCAATTTATTTTCGATCTGGAACCGGAGCCGGGTTAAATAGTATTTTAACACGTTCCGTGCCGAGGCTGTTTTTACTCGACATTGTCCATTTTCTATTTTACTAATATCTAATACATTATATGTAATTCTAAGTTATCGTTTATGTATAAGAACTATGGAGAGTATACTAGTTTGTGCTTTATTTAGATGATGATAATAATATTATTATTATATAATATTATAATTATTATATATATATTATTATAATTATTATATATACATATATTATTATAATAATTATTATAATTATATGTATTAAAATAATTTATAAAATAGAACAATAATAGTAATAATAATAATGATAACCTTACGTTATCAAAGCAAAAAATATTTTTAAAAAATATTTCCAATCAGACGAAGTTAAAACGAGAATGGAGGAAGAGAAAAGAAGCCACTGTAAACTGTAATTCCAACACCGCTATATGTTAGTTCGCTGCGGCGCCTCCGCGTCGGGGAAGCACATTTCGTGACGATTCTGCAAATACGGAGCCTCGGATCAGATACCGTCTTCCGGGGGTGGATCTACGATGTACCAGAACGGGGTTAGCAGTGATAAGGTTGTTGGCGGTAACTCGGCACATCCGCTGACAAGCGACGACGATGCGTGCGAATAATGGACGCGCGCGGCCGACATTCGAACGACTCGAAGACGTGACCCGCCCGCGCGGGGGAGGGGGAGGGGCGTATCGACTGTATTGCGAGGGAAATTGGAAGATTGCCCGGCGCCACTCTGCCTCCGCTAATTTCCCTCTGCTCGAATTGCCGCCTCAATTGTCGCGTCCCCCCGAAAAAACGCATCCGGAGTGCGGTAAGGAAACAAATGGCTGCGGAATGGGGATCTATGGGACGATCGCGACGACGCTTATTTATCAACGTCATAGCGTTAATAAATAGATTAACAAAATAATAATAATAAAAGATTATAATAATAATAGATAATAATAATAAATAATAATAATACAAATAGTAATAATAATAGATAATAATAATAAATAATAATAATAGATAATAATATTAAATAATAATAATACAAAATAATAAAAATATAAATAAAATAGTAGATTTTTATGCAAATTAAACATCGTTTATTTTGAGTTAAATAAGGATAAGTTTCTTCTTTTAATAGTTCCAATAAATTGAAAACAGTGCAACAAGATTCTTAAATAATTTGTTTGTCTCTTCGTATATAAGAACGACTACGACTAGACATCGAATTCTTACTTTTAACCAACCGGAAACCATGATGCCGGCAAATAGAATTCTGATTTACCCCGGCCATCCATCTGTCGTCTTGTTCGGATCGAGCTACGGCTTAATAACTACCTTGGCCGAGTAAATCGATTGTGAAACGACAATGCAATTCATACCTGTCCAATTCGTATCGGTTCGCGCTCCATTTCCTCCAATCGGAAAAACGACACGAACATCGGTGTACACTCTGCGCTGCGACGGATTTTAAACGTCTCCGTGAAATTATTTGCGACACTGATCCTTATTTCCAATTCTGACGTCATCGAAACGCGTTATTAAAACTTGACACGTTGAACAATTATTTTCTTTCGTGAAAAATGTCGCGCTCGCAATTGAAAGATAATTTATGTTTGCTATATTAGAATTGCGCGAATAGAATGTTCTATAAATGAAAGCAATTTTTATAGCCGTATATCGCGAAAAAGACAATACAGGGTGTCCCAAAATAATTGCATTATAATAATCAAGCAGGAAATGAGGGGTTCCTCGAATCATTTGAAACAACTTTTTTCTTAGCGAAAATGCAATCCGCGGCTTCGTTTACGAGTTATTAACGAAAAACGGTGACCAATGACAGATCGCGTACGGCTGACGCCCCTCCCCCTCGCGAGCACCGCTCCTCCAACTCGCCGTTGCGTCAGACGGTCGGCGCGACGGGACATTGGCGCTCGCGCTCCGATCGGTTGCTGTTTTTCGTTAATAACTCTTGAACGAAGCCTTGAATTGCATTCCCCGTTTGCTCAATAATTTTAGGACACCCTATATTTTTCTGAGAAACAGTTATTTGGAGGAAAGTAGGAGATGCGTAAATTTAAAAGAAATACCATCGAATAACCGTAACCGAAAGATACGCAAGATCAAAATATAATTTTAATTTAATTTAAAAATAATTAATTAAAAATACATCGGAGTCGCCTTTTAGAAGTAATAAGAGCCAAATGATATCGAACATCGTACTAAAAAGAATTACAATAACGTAAGGATATCAAGGTTATGTGAGATTCCAATGTCAACATACATTCCTGTTCTTCGGTTATATACACATAATTTTGTATCTCTCTAGGAATTAGTTTGCATTTCATGCAGCAGTAAGTCAGCTTGCTCGCAATAGTATCATTCGGAGTATTAAATAACGATTTGTGGACGATCGTTCTAAGAAACGTGCGGCTCGTGAAGTCAGCGCATATACAGTTGCGGCCAATTCAGGGCGCAACAGCTCTTTCGAGGATGCGGTAGACGGCAGAACCGTTGCGAGCCGTTTCGAAAGTCGAGATCTCGCGCCTGAAAATATCGCGACATGGATATTCACTCGTCGCCGCTGCCGCGATATCGATTCTTCCCGACGCAGAAGCGTGTATCCCACGAAGGTGTATCCTTCGGCTCTCGCCGATGGAAACTGTCCCGCCGGTTCAGCGCGCCGCGCGCCGGGATGAAAAGGAGCCACGGCGAAGCGCGGCCCGTGTAACCGTGTGTTCGTATCACCTGCCCCGCAGTTGCCAGCCGAGTTGCAGCTGCACGACGCCGGAGCGCACGGCGGAGCGGCGCGAGAGAGCGCGAGAGCACGGCGGAGCGCACGGTGGAGCGGCGCGAGAGAGTGCGAGATAGCGGCGGAGCGCACGGAGGAGCGGCGCGAGAGAGCGAGAGATAGCGGCGAAGCGCACGGAGGAGCGGCGCGAGAGAGCGCGAGATAGCGGCGAAGCGCACGGAGGAGCGGCGCGAGAGAGCGCGAGATAGCGGCGGCCGGACAACCGACACACAAAGAGAGCGGTCAGGAATCCGGCCGAGGTTTCGGTACGTAACTGGAATGCGGGGAGGGACGCGGGACGAGAAAAAGAAAGAGGAGGAAGCATCGAAGGAATCGGCCAAGAGATTGTTTCGTGCACCTTCTTTCCCTTTGCTCCGGTCGGTTAACACTTTGCCTACCGGAAGCTTATTAAATAGGCTTTTTATCGGGCAGCTCTTAGCGACCGCGCTAGGCCTACTAAACGGTTTTTTCCTGCTGGCCGGCCGGCCACGCAGTGGGACATCTGACCCGAAACTGCGGTCACCGCTACTTTAAAAGTAGCCCGATCTTCGAACACCCGTCACTTTTTCAACGTTCGTCCAAACTCGACGAACCGCATACCGTTTTAATGCTTGAGAATTTATACTTTTCGACGATGTATGGGGTAAGTGTAGGTATTATTATCGTTTTTTAATGAAGGCGAACTTTGACAGAATAATAAGACCTTTTACGCCAATAACTTGACAACTGGATTATAACCTATTTGATTATAACCTCGACGAGCCACGAAATAACCTATTTGGATGTGAACCTATTTGAACTTGAATATTAACTTTTCTCAAAATATTGTATCTTTGAAAGCACGAATTTCATTGAAAAGTGTAATATAAAGAAACATGCGTTTCACGTGTGCACACATTAGCGAGGGTTATGTATCTATTACGACTAACCGAAATAGTGCGGATGTTCCGATTATTACGTGTCAAGGTTGACATGACCCAATTTCTTCGAAATGTACGCACACAGCAACAATTCCCAGGATCAAGATATTCTCACTGTAGCGCTTTACAAATTAGGTATATGCACTCTGCGATCAAGCGTGTTCGCACCGGTGTAACTATTATAGGTTAAGGTACGTAGTTCGGTAAAGCGCCGCAGTATTATTGTCCATGCAAAGTAAAAAAACAATGCGCCGAATAGTAAATAATATTTGAGGATAGACGATGGTGAAGGTGTACGTCGACTTTTTATCAAATGATTACTTTACCTAAAAATAACGCTAAAATGAATAGTTCGCTATTAATTAATATAAATGCCTTTTTTTTCGAATCAGCGTTCACAGATGCTGTTACGAATATTTCAGAAGACATAACATTTTCAGGTTATAAAATAAAAACGAAGGAATGACATTAGACGAAGAGAAGACAATCGCAGGCGAAGAACTTTCAGACGCATAATTCTTGTTAAAAAATGCATCGATGTACGTACATAAAAAAATTATCTTCGTCAATATATATATAATATATATAAATATATATATAATTAATTATATATAAATTTTCTCGAACTTTCAGGATTAATGCTCCACTGTTTCAAATCAAGCAAAGTCCATTTCCAGGCCTATGACTGCGACGAATAAATCGATAAATAAATTTCCAGGCGACGAATAAATGCACTTTGCATAAAACAAAGAACAGCAACGTGAACATTGATAATGTAAACAGTTCCCTCAAATAATTCATTAGCATGGATTTACTTCACCAAGATACGACGAATGCGAGCATGCAAGCATGCGAGAAACTCCGCGATTCTCGATGGTCGACTTTATCGTAAATCGACTATGAAACACACGGGCTGTTTTCTTCGCGGAAACCGCGACATTTCTAGTGAATCAAAGAACGTTGCCAGATAGCGCGCGCGCGCGCACGATTTCGGAGGAAATTTTTCGCAGAGGCGCGCGGCCACGGAAAGGGTTTCGAGGGGTGGAAAGGGGAGGGGGGCTACGGACGAGGCTCTCTCTACCTGCGGTCGAAGCAAGGTGCATTCCTCCGCAGCGGCGGTTCTCCTGCGGGCCGACGAACGCACAAACCCACGCACGCGAGAGGCAATATCAAAGGGGCCGATGTTTCACGAGCGTACACCGACGTGAGAATGGTCGCGTGCATCTTGCCCCTACGTATGTACTACCTACGAGTGTCGTCGCGCGTATCTTGCGCTGGCATCTCCCTGCTCGCGATCCCCTTTTCACCCTCTTCGTCGTCCCCCCGCCCCCCTTTTTCCCTCCGCTCGGCGATCACGTTCCTTCCAGATTACGCGTAGCCACCGTCGAATTTTATCATAACCTACCATCGATCTAGCAGCTTGCGCGATAAATTCCCTCGCGTGTCTTCAAACAAAAATCGACTCCGCTCGACATAACCTTCTCACGCTCCCCAGAAGTAGAAATGTTCGCATCTTTTTAATTTTCTTTTTTTTTCTTACGCTTTCTTTTCGAAAACCGTGACTTCCGCTCGGCTTCGTTTTCAATACATTTTGTACAGTGACTGTCACCTAACCTTTAAAGGACCATGAGGTTGCTAGGCGTGAATATTAGTATGTAACTGTTCGTTTTAGTTTGTTTCGACGTAAAATAAACAAAAATCGTACGAAGAATACGTGACGGTGTGTAGTCTTTATATTATATTTTTTCCAATGGACTGTAAAGGTAACGCAGATTATGATTAGGCTTATTATGCAATGTTTTTTATTTATTGGTTTAGTGTAACAGAATGTTAACTAAAATGATACAAGGTTATGAGATAAAATTACTGTACAAAATGATATGCTAATTATAATATTCTGGCAATATTAACTGAACAATGACTGAACTTTACTTTTATCGTTTCCAAGCATTGTTAAACAAAACACGATCGGAAATTTACAGTGTTGCCAACAACGTACCGTTTTTACCGACGGGCTAGTTCTATACACAACGACAATTTTATTTAATTTACTAACAATTATAGAAAGCTTTTTATTCTACCGTCGTTATACAGGGTGTCCCGAAAATGTTTCGCAATCCGGAAATGGTGGGTTCCTCAGATTATTTGAAGCAACTCCTTCCTTTACAAAAATTTTCTCCGATGCATCGTTTACGAGTTATTAGCGGAAAACAGTGACCAATGAAAGGCGAGCACGGCTGACGCGAGACGACCGAGCCAACGGCCGAGGCAACGAGGCCGCCTCGCGCCAGTCGAGCTGGCCTCTCATTGGTCAGTATTTTTTGTTAATAACTCGTTAACGGTGGCTCGGATAAAATTTTTGTAAAGGAAAAAGTTGCTTCAAATGACCTAAGGAACCCGTCACTTCCAGATTCCGAGACATTTTTGGGATATCCTGTATATTAAATAAAAAGGTATCGAACTATACGTCCATATATATGCGTTTTAGTAATTTCCTAAAATTATCGCGTTTTATAAGTGAAAATTCACTGAATTCCTAGGTGTACGATTTTAAGTGACAATCACTGTATGTGTATATAATTATAAATAAATAAAATATTTTATTTAAGTAAATATTTTGGTAGAGAAAATGTCTGAATTTTGAAGGCAAAACAGCGAAGAATGTGAGACAAGCAAAAGTTATTGTTTACAGCTTTGGAGCACAATTTTGAAAGTGCAATTGTCAAGTTCTCAAAAACGTTTGCCGAATTGTTGTTACTAGCAATTAATTTATACTTGACTGCATCTGAACAAGCATTCCTCGAAGAACAATAAAACACGCTATTCGTTATCTTTCCTCTAATATTATTGTAATTACTGGTTAGGCCTCTCAAAATGTACTTCATTAAAGGGACGCCCCCTTTCCATACCTACCCATTAGAAACTTTACTATCGCTTGAAATATCTTTTTTTCAATCTCTTTTCTGTGTACGTATGCCACATAAAAACGAGGTCGTGTTAGGTCAAACTAAATACAAGGCGCGGCAAGCTAAACGTGTAATACGAAAAGGAAGTTCGGCGGGATCAATTTCAAAATCTTTTTAACATATTTTTACTGCTTCGTTACGTAATAATTTAGATTAATAAAAATAATTATTTATTATGGAAATATCATTCTCTTTTATTAATTATAAAAATAAATTAATACCATTAATTTATTAAAGAGAGAGTATAAATTTTTGTTTAGAGAATTGACAAATGATATGTAAATATATTAAGTAGAAAATAAAAGAGGAATGGGCTTTAGTTTCCTTTTTATCGGGTTCGAAACAAATTATTTCTCCTCCGTATCACAATTTAAGTACATTTTCTGTAAAAATTATACATTTCCAAAGAACAAAATGATTACAAACGACGATATAAATTTAGAAAAATTACTTATATAATTTAGAAAAACGAACAGATGGAAAAGAAAAAGATCATAGCAAGCAATAATCCGAACGTTTAATAATCGACCATTACTAAATAAAGTATGCATTACGGGAATACCATTTTTTAAAAGCCGACTTTTTCCCGCCATTTGTATGAAAACCGTTCGCCGGCGGACGGTTCCAGCTGCACGCGTACTTTCAGTTCGATTCGTATTTCAATTAAATCGATCGCGCGATAAACTCCGTACGCAGGAGAGCAATGTCGAGCCAAAAGTATATCGCTGTTAATTATATGGAAGATCGTATTAATCTTCGTGCCGACCAGCCAGCCAGACGCCCGTAGCTGAACCGACTGCGACCGGAAAGGGTTAACTGTAGCCGTATAGCCCGTATACTATTAAAGCCGGTAGAACGTAACTGACTCATCCGCAGGACGATTACAGCGCCCCGAGTAAGCGCAGCGCCGTTGAATCGCCGTTTAAAGAAAAAACTTTAGCACTTTCCAGCGCTCGGATAATGCGATGTCTGCCCGACGAACGGCCGAGGCGAGCCGCTTAATTTCCGTCTCGTTTCCGCGGGGCCGGAGTGGGGGGAGCGGACGGAGCGAGGAGGAGGAGTAGGAGGAGGAGGAGAATTGGGAAAGAGACGCGCGTCGCGCAACGTTTAACGAACCGATCGATCAATCGGGAGACCGAGGGCCTCGATAATTCCTGAATAATTGAGAATGTCTCTTCCGAGCCCCGATATGCGCGTTGCAATCGAATTTCGGTGGATTATAATTGGCTGCGCGTTAATACGCGCCCGATACCCGATACTCGACGTCGTGGAAAGGTATGCGCGCGAGCGCGTGCTTCGAATCGCGGCGCCGAAGCACGGCCGGTCTCGCAATTACCGCGGGAATCGCTCGCTCGCTCGCTCGACCGGCCGAGCCAGCCCCGTCTTTCGAATAACTTCATTCTTATTATACTACCGGCCCGACCGTGGCTCCTTTTCCCAGTCGCACCGCGTGCCGCGCCGCTCGGCTCGCCGGGATTCCGACGCGATCTTGCCGTTTCACGTGTTCGGCCACGGCCAATTTTTATCAGTATTATTTTTCAAATTGATTCGCCTGTGATAGCGACGATGATGCGGCTTGCTTTACGGGATCGGGAATCTTTTAGGATTTCCTGCAGAATTTCGTAAGAACCAATGCTCTACTATACAGTGTGTCCTAGAACTCCTGTTACAGCTCGGAACGAGGCGATTCGACGAACTCATTTTTCATCCTCTTTGCGAACACGTGGTCAAGGTTATGTCAACTGGTCAGTAAATCATCAAATATCAAAGTAAGACAATGTGGGAGGAGGAGAGATACGATTGTCCGTGCCTCGTTTTTACGGTTGTTGACGATCGGCGACTGTATAAAAATATAAGTCGCGAGACTTGAACAATCGAGACTTCCTCTCTTCTTAAATATGTCAAGGTTATGTCAAAAAAACAAGTCGCGAGACTCGAATAATCGAGGCTTTCTGTCTTCTTGAATATGTAGTCTATTTTTGTTTAAAAGCTGAAGGACAATTGAATTCACTTGTATCCGACCTGAAACGCTTCGCAGATTTGGCGAAACCTTTTGACAAACGTTTGCCCTCTTGCCTAAACTCTGTTTCCATTCGGAAAATGTACAGCAACTCGGCGCATTCTCGCCGATTGCCGATTGGAACCGTATATTTGCGCTGTGACGAGTGAGTATCGACGAGCACAGTGCCGCGCAGTTTGCACAGAGCGACACTCGATGCAGAGAGGAATTATTTGCGCGACCCGATCCAGGTACCGGCCGATTACCTTCCTCCGCGCCCCTCGGATCATTGGATTAATCTCTCATTCTCTCTCTCTCTCTCTCTATCGCGCTCTCTCTCTCGCGCTTTTGCACTCACTCTCGCGCTCTCTCTCGCGCGCGCTTTTGCACTCGCTCCCACTCACTCTCGCACTCCCTCTCTCTCGCGCTTTTGCACTCACGCTCTCTCACTCTCGCACTCTCTCTCTCGCGCTTTTGCACTCGCTCTCTCCCTCTCTCTCTCTCTCTCTCTCTCGCGCGCGCGCGAGATGTTTTCGGGATATTTTCGGAACTGTGACTTGCACGTCATTATGATTTTAGCCTATTCGATAATCGTTAAGCAACAATTTGAAATCGCTCGCGTATGTCTGAAGCAGTATCTTTTGAGCGAACACGAAAATTAATTTCTATCGAAATCTTTTCGGTAAAATTCTCTATCTTCGTACACTAGCAATCGCAATTTACTTACACCGTATTTTCCTTTTTTTTTCCTTTTAACGATGTAATATTCTGAAATGTATATTATACCGAATCGGATTAAAAGCGTTATTTGCATACGCCTTCTTCTTCTTCTTGTTTCTGTACTCGGTGCTATTTATCCTCCGGTACGCGGTTTAATTGGTTTATCGCGTACATTAAATTAATGACAGAAGAGTCTGGCGGGGGGGGGGGAGATATTGAATCGAAAAATTCCAAGAGCCGCGATCTCGAACGCGAAAGCTGCTGCGGCCGCCGAGCATCGATAAATTAACGAAGCAACGAATTACGGGCCGCCTGGAAACAGGTTCTGCGCGGACCGAGGGCTCCCCGGTCTCTTATTTCCTATCCGGTCATTCAGAAAAATTGTTTCTTACCTCGTTAATTACAACGGGAACAACGTATCGCCGTGAAATTAAACCGCGTAAACATCGATGCCCCAGGGAATTAGCATGCGTCGCGATAAAGAAAATATTGATCGCGATCCGAAAATTTCCGATCGTTCGTCCTAGATCATAGATCATAGGATCTACGGTCTAGATCTTGCGTAAAAAAATTGTTTCACATTTCAGATACATATTTTTGTCGTAATTGTATTAAATCCACGACTAATCAGTAGATATTTAATGACGGGATATTTCTTACAATAATTTATATTTTTTATATTTTATATTTAATGCAATATAGATAATATAATAATATTAATTATTAATATAATTATTATAATATAATAATATAACAATATATATATTATAATGATTATATATATTAATTAATATATATATAATATAATAATATATAACAATGTATATATATATAATTATATAATATAATATGAATATAATAATTATATTTATAATTTATAATAATTTCCAGATAATTTGATGGATTCTGGACGAGATTAATGTATTTTTGGACAATTGTTTTTTTAAGAAATTCTCGACTGTGGATAGAGCAACGCTTCGTCGAAAAGACCTGAACAGACCTTAAAACCATTCGTTGTATCGATGAGA